CCTTTTTGTTTTGTACGGGATGCCACCCATTCTTCTCGTACTCCGGTAATCTTTGCTAATTTAACTCGAAAGGGTTGAGTTTTAATTGACTTTGAATAGATTCGATTCTCCAAAGCCCCTTCTATATGTAGCAAAGTTGTGTACTCTTCAATAGTAGGGACCAAGTCCTCTTTATTGAGAGTAAAGCAATTGTACCCTGGATTCCAGAATTGAATTAGGGCTCGAAGTAAGTCATCATCAACTTCGACATAGAGCAAATATGGGATGTCTCCGTAAGTCTGATAAAACTGCAACTTTTTGTTTGAGTCCCAACTTTCCGAAATGCTTCGCAAATCTTGCATGTCATTTCTTTTTAGCGAAACTGGAGCATAACTGGCCAAGTCCGATACATAACCATCTTGCAGACTGTCTCCTCCTTGTCTTTGTAAGTTCTCAGCCCACTGTCTTACTTCTGAGTTTAGAATTATTTGATTTGAACACTTTTTATCCATGGATGAAGGCTTTCCAATGAGACAATTAACACGAGGATCAATGCCTTTTATCCTGTATGATGCTATGCAAACAGAAAAAAATAAAGAACACAAAAAGAAATGAATTAGTTTACATAATAAAGAAATTTAATAATAATATCTACCTAAATATTTTTATTTAAACATGCTTTTTCATAATTTAAATAATTTAAATTTACATGTAATTTAATCAGTAAGAGAATAAATAAATTAACATGAAAGTTAGAATTCATTTCTCCTGTGTGTACACCTATTTTGGACAAAATTTCGGCATGGCTTCAGATCGGAAGGGTTTCTAGGGTTTATTATATGCAAGGTTTCAGATCTAAGAATAAAGGTACCCGAATTGTCCTTGTTAGTGCCCCCTTGGGTTGCTAACCCTCAATCCTAGTCCATCACAGACTAAAGTGGACCGAGTTCAATTCGAGGGGATACATTTCTCTATGCCTGACACGGAGAATAAATTCTCACGAAGACATAGAGCATATGAACCCTGAAAGTTACTTGCTAGGTCTGACACTGAGAATAAATTCTCACGAAGACGTCGCTTTCACTCCCACTTAAAAAGGACAAACTCAATTATAGAGCTTTATGTTATGCTATGCAAGTATTGTGTGTGAGGAGAAATGTTCAAACCTTTGACAGAAAAATAAATAATGAAATAAAATACTTGCAAATAAAATGAAATATTAATAAGAAAATATATAAATACTATGAAAATAATAAATATATAAAATTTTGAAAAGAAAGAATTATAAAAATATATAAATTTATAATTTATAATTAATAGAGACAATTTATAATTGATTTTAAAAGTTTGACCTGTCCCCAGCGGAGTCGCCAAGCTGTCGTAACCGTTTTTCGTCCGGGCACGAAATATTTATTTAGCGGGAAAATTGATGTGAATAAATGGTTTTGAAAATAATTTGGGAGTCGCCATCGGCCTTTTGGGTCAGGTAGGTCGAATACCTAAAAAATTATCTTTTAAAAGAGTTTTTAAGAAAACATCAGTTAAAAGATAAACTGATCTGCGTTTTAACCAAAAATTCGTTTTTTTTTAATAGTAAAAAAGGGATTCGTGGTCGGTTATGTTTAGGGAAGGGTTAGCACCCCTACAACGCCCAAAATTGGTACTTTTTAATTATAAATTGTCTCTATTATTAAAACTTTAAAAATTCAAAATATATTTAATTTATAATCCTATTATTTCAAAATTATATAAAAAATATTTATTTACTTAAAAATATCAGAAAAGGACTTCTAGGTGCCTTAATACAGCTCTTTTCTTTGATATTAATAAATATTAATTTAAATAAAATTAAATAATAATTTTTGTTAATACCATAATAGGACATCCAGTTGTATTAAGATTGTCCTTTTCTTCGATATCGAAAAATAAATATTAAAATAATTATTAAAAAATATAAATTATTATTTATTATATATATTTATGACTACATAATAATAATAAGAATATTTAAATATATAAACAAGTAAAATTAAAACAATAAAATACAATTAGAACTATATATTTAAAAGCAGTAAAATAAATGAAAATATTTAAAATTAGTGACTAAATTATAGTAAAATTAAAATTAAATACCTAATTCATAATTAATCAAAATTATAGGGATTAAACATGCTATTTCCTTATTTATTAATTTAGTGACTAAAATAAAATTATATAAAATTCGGATATTAGATTAAAATAAATTAAAACATACTATTCACATTAAAAAATTAATTATTAAAATTAAAGGACTAAATCTGTCATTTACCCTAAATATATTATTCTAATACAAAGGACTAAAATAAATAAAAATAAATTTAAAGAACCGAATTAAAAGGATTATAAATTGATTTAGTGACTAAAATGTAAAGATTACAAGTTAGGATGACTGCGGATGGGATTTAACCTTTAAAAATTACACAAATAGCCCTCCCCGAAACGACGTCGTTCGGGAAGGGCTATTTAAGCCCGAAACCGGCTGGCCCTTCGGGCCATCTCTCATTTCTTTTTTTTTATTTCTCTCTCTAACTGAGAGAGAATCAAAAGCTCTCCCTTCTCTCTAGCTTCCCTCATCAGAGGGAAGCCGGTCACCGGACGGCAACCGTCTGCCGCCGTGATTCTCACCGCCGTCCACCGCATCCGGTGGCCGGAAAAATTTATTTTTACACCATTATGTAGATCGGACCGTCCTAATGACGGTTCCGGTGTTCCTTTCTTTTAAAAAGCTCCCAATCGGAGCAAATCTAAGAAAGTACCTTCGACTTTCGAAGGTTTTGGTGACGTTTGAAGAGGTCCGGTGGTCGTAGCTTCCTCGGTAAGCTTCTCTCCTCCCTTTTCGTCTGTTTTTGGTTGCTGGTTGTTGTGAGTTGGTCTCTATTTTTGTATCTTTGCTCTCGGTTTTGTCTCTCTGGGGTCTGTTGGCTCTCTTCTTTCTCTGCAGATGGGGTGATGGCTTTATAGCCATCACCGGTGTGGCCATCGGACCGGGTAAAAGAGTGGAGTCTGGTGAGTCACCGGACTCCCAGTGGTGACTCACCCTAGGGCCATAACGTGGACGGCTGGCGTTGGAACTTCTGGAGCCTTCGGTTGGGGCGTGGCAGCGGCTGGAGCGACGTGGAGCGGCGGCAGCTGGTGTAGTCCCTAGGGTTAGGGTTTCGTCTGGCGCATCTGTGGACCGTTGGATCTCATCAGATCCAACGGTGGATGGTTAAGACGGCTGAGGCTTAGATATAAACCCTAAACGAGTTTAGGGTTACACATTTGGGTTAACTGGTTGGGCCACTGTATTGGGCCTTCAATTTGGGCTTGTAATTATTATTATATATTTATTTATTTTTTATATTATTTATTTAATAACAATAATGTATATAATAATTATAATAATAATCATAATAATAATAATAATAATAATAATGGGTAAAAAAATTTAATATCTTCAATATCAAATATAAAGGTCGCATTTCATTATAAATCATAAAAAAATTAAAAATGTCAATTTTTTTAATTTTTAATAGATTATGTACTGATACAACCTTTTGTATCAATACTGATTAGGAAGTATGGATACTCTACCATAATATCGATACTAAAATTATATACTGATTTTTTCAAAACAATATATATCTATACTAACCAAACATTATTAATATTACCTTTACAAAATTATCAAAAACTTGTTTAAAACATATTCAAACTTTATTAGATATGCCTTTAAAAAACAACTACCAACAATAATCATAAGATATCATTCATTACCACATGAAGGAGCATAGCATATGCATTTCTCCTCAATAAACAAAGCACACAAACTTTAACATTTCGTTTATTAAGTACACATGTAATTTACCACATAATTGTAAACCCTACACATCATTTATACAAAGTTCTGTTAACAATAGAATTTAAAACACATTACAGCACATATGCCACATGCCTAAATGTTTTCCTACACAATTAATATAGTCTCAAATCTTAAATATAGAATGCCTTTCATTTGCACATATTAACACATACATAGAAAATGTGAGGAAAAAGAAGGAAACTAAAGAATTGGGTGGGTTCATAATCACTGGTAAGAGAAAATACGACTGGGTAATTAAAGTTTTTAGAAATTTCAGAGCTGTCCAATTGATTTTTGGTTGGGATATCTAGGTAGATTTCAATTAAAGGCAAGGAAAAGTGCAGGTCAAATTTTTATTTTAAAAACACAGTAAAAAAAATTATAGTACATCGCCATAAATTCACCGCGGATTTACATCCATTTGTTTCCAAAAATTCAAAAGAAAAAAAGTCAGACAAAAATAATTATCTTTTAAAATGAAAAAGAAAGATGAATTAATACAGACCCAGTAAAACAATGAGATATGGCAAGAGGTGGGGATGAGCCGAGAGAAGAACCCGTGGCTCTTTAAACGAATGGATTCGGCGAGATCTTTTATTAGTGGTATAAGGTCAGTCCAAATATTTAAATTGCATACTTCATGGAGATTGTTATTTATTAATTTTATTATGGTTAAAATATTTTTATGTTATCTTTCATTAATATTTTTAGAATATATATCGTAAACGTGGTTTGAGTGGTATGAATGTCTAAATTAATCTTGAAATCTTATACTTAGAGCGATGCGAAAACAAAAAAAAGAAAAGGAAATGATACACAATAAATAAATAAATAAAAGAGAATACAAGTGAAAGCTCCATTGTATTTCTCAAAACTTAAAACTAATGAGATGGGAAAACATCTACTTATAATTGAATCTTCTTACAGCCTCTACTAATTAGAGATATACTTGAGATTAAAATATATCTTACATAATTTTTTATTTAAAGAAAATAAATCACGTCCATTGATACATTTCATAAATGATGGATTACATCAAATGAGGAAAAAATCAAATAAATATTCATAGACATTCAAAGCAATATCTTTTCTTACCCTAATCAACGGAATGAGCTCTTTCAAAATTCTTCGAGGGAAGGACCAGTTTTGATGGGGTGAAAAAGTAAAGATTCTGTAAAAGACGTCGTAATCAGCCTGGTGCGCTCTGGTCTCGGACTACCACTGGCATCGACTCGGACAAAAGCAAAGAAACGTACAAATTTAGTTCATATCGATATATTCCAGGAAGTTTCCTTGTTCTCAAACTTTAAAACATTGCTGCCTCTAACCCTTTGATTAACTTAAGTTCCTTCTTCTATTTTGCTGATATTTTCCTGCTATAACTCGTGGAGCAGATTAAGTATACGGTCGCATTGCCATAAAATGAAGTTCGGGAAGGAATTTGCTGCTCAAATGGTGCCTGAATGGCAGGAAGCGTACGTTGATTACCGTTCGTTGAAGACATTATTGAAACAAATCGATCGTATGAAACAAAAGACTCAGCAACCAGATACCCCGACTCATCTTCAACGAGCTTTAACGCTTTATAGAAGCTTTAGCGGTTTGAATCGCACACAAAACAGATGTGCGACTTCTTTCGACAATCACGATGTTGAAAACCAAACGATTCTTGTGAATTCTGTGCAACGAAATGGCTCGGGGAAGTATGAGACCACTTTTCTTATGGTTACAGAAGAAGGGGCTGAATACGAGCAAGAGTTCTTTAAAAAGCTTGATGACGAGTTAAATAAAGTTGACAAGTTTTATAGGTATAAGGTGAAGGAAGTAATAGCTGAATCTGAAGCACTCACCAATCAAATGAATGCTTTAATTGCTTTTCGGATAAAAGCTGATAAATTAGAAGAGAAATTTGATGTTTCTGGTTCTGGTGACGGTAAGTACTTTTCTTCTAAGTTTTCAGAAAATGTTTCAACAATTCATATCCATGGCTTCATTTGCAGAAATCGTGATTCCCATGAATGAATTACAAGGCACAACTGATGTTAAACAATCCAATAATGGGTGTCAAGAGATTCAAGAAGAAGACCCCAGGAAAGTTCCCAGTATTAGACTTGCTCCACTAGAAGTGTTAAATCATATGAAGTTGAATCAAGCTACTTCCCCAGCTGCTACTTTTAACTGTGTTAGCAATACTAAGGAGACGCAAATGAATTTCAGCAGGGACAATCTGAAGAAAATCCAAAACCAATTGAAACATGCCTTCATTGAATTTTATTACAAGCTTCGGCTTCTCAAGAACTACAGGTAACAAATGGCGCAACAACCCATTGTATATATTGGATTACTTTTGCTTTCTAATTTTTTACATGTGTCTAAAAACAGCTTCTTGAATGTGATGGCATTCTCTAAAATCTTGAAGAAATACGATAAGGTACGACTTATAAAAGCCTTCTTAACGTCAAACATGATTCGGTGTCGACACTGATTGTTCTCCTGTCATGGCTCTCAGATGACATCGAGAAGAGCATCCAAGTATTATATGAGGACAGTGGATGATACTTATCTAGGCAACTCTGATGAGGTAGGTGGCTTCCCAGTTCAGAAAAACGAAAAAGATTCGGAGAGATCTAACACAAACGTTGGTTGTTTCAGGTAACAAAGCTAATGGAGAGGGTTGAAGTCACATTCATCAAACATTTTTCCAACTCAAACAGAAGTAAAGGCATGAACAAGTTGAGACCAAAATCAAAGAAAGAAAGGCATGCTACATCATTTGGTACAGGTAAGTAAGCTTTTCACTTGGAATGGCGTACTTTGTACTTAAGAAGATATTTATTCTAAAATGATCCTTCAGGCTTCTTCGCTGGCTGCACTGTGGCACTCATACTGGCGCTGATACTGATCGTGCATGCTCGCAATATCCTTGCTAAGGAAGGAAGAGCTCAGTATATGCAAATCATGATCCCACTATACAGGTTATTTTCTTTTACTACATTATATATGCATATCATATTATAACTGTGTCACCTGTTTGACAATGTGATGTTAACTATGATTGCAGTTTATTTGGTTTCATAGTTCTGCATATGCTTATGCATGCCGTAAATATATACTTTTGGAGGAAATACAGAGTTAATTATTCATTCATATTTGGCTTCAAGCAAGGAACAGAGCTGGGATTTCGAGAAGTTCTTCTCTTGAGCTTCGGTCTCGGGACTCTAGCACTCATTAGCGTGGTCTCCAACCTGGACATGGAAATGGACCCTCAAACTGGAGATTACAAAGCTCTGACTGAACTTCTTCCTTTAAGCTTGCTTTTGGTAAAAATATAGAAACTATATGACTTCATAATAGCAAGTCCGAACTCAACAAAAACAATTTTCTGATCTGTATTACCTTTTGCTACCTCTACCAGCTTGTGGTAATTGTGTTATTCTGTCCTTTCAACATCCTTTATCGCTCAAGCCGCTTCTTTCTGCTCAGAACTCTGTTTTGTTGCATATGCGCTCCTTTCTACATGGTAAATACATGCATAGTACTTTTAAAACGTTTGTCTAATCCGAATCAAAATATTTGGGATTTATCTGTGACTCGTACTTTGAATGCAGGTCAGATTTCAAGATTTTTACTTGGCGGATCAGCTTACTAGTCAGGTACAAGCATTCAGAAGCTTGGAATATTATGTCTGTCATTATGGTTGGGGAGATTTCAAACGCAGACAAAACGCATGCTTTTCAAACGACTTATTCAACAGTTTTTATTTCATCGTCGCTGTAATCCCCCACTGGTCTCGTCTCCTTCAGGTAGTTTCACTTCCATCTCAGTTTCAGTTCATAAAACATTAAGCTTTAAATTCATTTTTTTTCTTTCAAACTGTCAGTGTGTACGAAGGTTCCATGATGGGAAAGATTCAATACAAGCATTGAACGGATTGAAGTACTTTCTGACAATAGTTGCTGTGTGTATGAGGACTGCTTATGGCCTCGACAGGGGAACCAGTTGGGAAGCATTAGCTTGGATGTTCTCAGTCATGGCTGCTATCTATGGTACTTACTGGGACCTTGCTGTCGACTGGGGGCTTCTTCAAAGGCAGTCCAAGAACCGCTGGTTGAGGGACAAGCTTCTCATACCATACAAAAGTGTATATTTAGGAGCAATGGTTTTGAACGTGTTGCTGAGATTTGCGTGGTTGCAAACTGTGTTGAATCTGAATTTGTCGTTGCATAGAGAAACATTGATTGCTATTGTTGCCAGTCTCGAGATTATTCGTCGTGGCATTTGGAATTTCTTCAGGTAATTTTTCTTCATATATAAACTAGTTAGGAATTTTGAATTCATTTATTTTATAAAACTCCATTGGTGGACGTGTGCAGATTGGAGAATGAACATTTGAATAATGTGGGCAAATTTCGTGCATTTAAATCGGTGCCACTGCCTTTCTACAGTGATGACGATGAAGACCAGACGGATTAGATAGATTGCTGCAAATATCAGGGGATAAGATCGTAAGACTCAAGACTGTACAGAAAGCCCCGAGTTTTCTTTTTTCCCACTTCTCATTTTAAAAGATATGGTAGAGGAAGACGGGAAAAGAACTGCACATTGCTGCGAAATTAACTCTTTTTTTGTTCCAAGTTTGAGAATATTGTACATCAAGAAAAAAATTTAGGAGTGAATATAAAAGATAGTTTTCTTTCAATATTGATCTTTTTGTTTATATGGAAATTAACAATATTTTCTAAATTATAAACTAATATATATTTAAATACGTTTAAATTAAATATATTGACACAATTCAAGTGACATCGATGGTAAAAGACTTGTTATGGACCCGTAATTTTAAAAAATTATAAAAAATATATATTAAAACACACAAACATTTATAGAAAACATTATCTTCGAGCATTTTTTATACAAAATCATAGTATCAACATCAATATTTTCGAACATATTTTTTCCATTACATAACATAGCTAGCTCAATCAATCTTTCTTGTGACATTGTTAACCTCAAATAATTTTTTAACAATTTCAGCTTAGAAAAAATTCTCTTAATTTATTATGAGAAAAAATAATCTCTAACTTTTGAGAAAAAAAATAATATTTAACTTAGAAAAACACTTTCATTTTAGGGGAAAAAATCCAACTCCATCAACATCTGAAAAATTATTATGAGAAAAATAATCTTAAAATTATTACAACATTCTCTTGATTTATTATCATTCAGTGACTTCAACCTTATAAAATCAATTAAAAATCCAAAGCAAATTTTAAAAATCCTTAACTAACATTTTTATTTTTAAATTTGAAAACGTAAAATTAAAAAATGCTTAATAAAAATTGAAAAAAAAATGAACAAATATAATAAATTTCCAAAGAATTTATAATCAAATCGAATTCTGCAAAGAAATGAACAGTCATAATAAATTTCCAAAATGAAATGAATGGTTATTCGTACAGTAACTAACGTTTTTTATTTTAAATTAAAAATATAAAATTTAAAATTGGTTAATAAAATTGAAAAATAATTAATGTCTATTGGATTTCCAAAAAAAATATAATAATCAACGTTTATTGCATTTAATTCAAGAAAAAATTTAATAAATTTGTGGGGCCCTACCTAACCTGTAAAACCATTCTTTATGCATTGAAAAATAAAACTTTTATGGGCCCTGGGCGGGCACCCCTTCTGCCCCGGCCCAGGGCCAACCCTGATTATTCCTCGAAGTTATGAGTTTGAGTATCATGAATGTCAAGAGTGTGAGAGATTAATGTAAAATATTTGAGAGTTATCTTTGAACCAATAGTAGTATATTACCTTATACTTACTCCAAATTAATAAAAAAAATTAAATATATTGAATTACTTCAATGATAAAGTAAATATATATATATATTATCAAACCTCAAACTCAATATCTACTTAAATGATATCAAGCTACTTACCACCTAATACAACCCCATTGATAATTTTTAGATTTTTCTCATCTTTACTTCTTGATTATTTGTATAATCAACTATTTTTTTATTAGCATTAATTAAGTGAATTTAGCGGTAAATGAATTGTTGTTATTCCTTAAGATACTAGATTCTAGTATAAAAAATGTCACGGGTGTGAACGTTCAATATCAAATGATTAAGAGTTATCTTTAAATAAATATTGTCTTGTTATTACCATATTATAAAAAAACTATTTTTTATTAATGGCAGTCATATATATATATATATATATTAAATAATGCACACCTCTTTTAGCCCAAATATAAAAGGTTTTATGCTTTTTATTCTTGATATCCCAGGCGGATAAATTAATTGACCCAATATGTCAACAAAGATTTTAATTTAGAATCTACAATATTTGTTATAGTAAAGAGCAAACTCGTTACGTTGAGTTGACAATTTTTCCTGAAAATATTTTTTATTGGTCCCAGGTATGTGGACTCTAAGTGGGTTAATATTTTAATATTTTCACTGAAACTCGTTATATCGAGGTGACGAGACTATTGAGAATTTTTTTTTTATTGATTAAATAATTAATCTTTTAAAAAAATTACAAATCTCATTACGTCGAGGTGACGAGTTTTCTTTGAATTTAAAAATATATCTCCTATGCCATAGGCAGTTTTTAAAATTAAAAAAACTTAAATAAATACAAAAAGAATTTTTTTAACAAATTAATACAATACATAATAAAATTTATTTATATTTTCATAGTTCTTGACAATGTCGAGGAATGGTCGAATGATAATGGCACAAGCCTCGTCGAGTATGTCGGGATCATCCGCCTTCGAAATATGATCTTCACTTCACTTTGAGATACACTTTCGAAATATGGTGATGAGCTTTTGGTATTTGATGTCATCATTGATGTCACTTGGATATGTTGTTAACCATATATAATATGATCTCATTCACTCTCACCTGCATATTCGGCCGAATATACTTGAGTGTTTTATATTGTATCTCATGAACCTCAAACCCAATTTGGTTGAGTCTCTATTAAAACATGATATGGAGGATAAAAAAACAAAATTGGTCTAAGATGAAAATAATTGACAGAAGCAAAAGCGGAAATAGGAGACGAAGATGATGATAATTTCTTGGTCTTTGTGAGTTTGGTCTTTCCTTGTTCTCATTCTGTTGTCTCTTTCGATGTCGTTAAATATGGTTATCATTTTCTTCATAATTTCGGAGTTAAGGAGAAATGTCAAAATTAAGGTCGGCGGGTATAATTACGTAATGCATAAGGATCGATAAATGTCGTTGATTCTATTTGTCAATATGGACAACATGTTTCCTCAATCATTGTTTCCTACACGTATCAATTCTATAAAGCGCATCCATGTAAAATATTTGCGTAACTATTTAAAAACAGAAATTCCAACTGTATGGTTCAGACCCCACCTTAAGTGGTGCACTTGTATCGGTACTTTGGGAACTGAATCTTCTATCTAAACACTATCATCCGGCCTTATCAACACTAGCCTCGGGAATCTCAAGCATGAATTCTGCACAAAACCAGGTTTATATCAACATTTCACCTCAACAAGCTTTCAAGAACTTGTCGTCGGAAGAGGAGTCATTCAAGTTCAACCCACAGGGCAGTACCCAGAAATCAAATCACAAGAGGAAAGGCAGAACCGCTGCACTCTCCTCGACGTTGGCTAGAGACGAACCTTCTCCGATCGATGAGAACGAGGTGAGCAAGAAGCTTTGTAGACATTTCGCTCTTCTTCGGGACATTAAAGAGAATGAGAGGTTAAGGGGGGAGTTGGATCGGACAACAACATCCCTGCAGTTGTATGAAGAGTAGAAGAAGCAGCGGAAGTAGGCCATTGATAAAAGCAAGATAAACTTCAAATCCTTCTAGAATATGTGGCCATTGAACTGACTTCATTGGTACTGACCATTTAGTATGTATTGAATTCTTAATTTTATTTGTTGAGCTTACAATCTTCTCAAATTATATCAGTAGTTACACAGCTTACAAGTTGTTCGTTTTATTGTCTTTGTAAATAATAAAATAAAAATATAAACATTATAGTATAAATTAATGTATAAACAGAGCCAATCATGAAGGCCGCGTTGCATACTGGAAATACTATTAAAATACGACAGTCACTGCTTGTATTGCACTGTATCCATATCACACTTCAATGGTTTCTGTTCATAGTGTAAATAAGATCAAATTTAATATATATATATTTAACCATTATTCTTTGAATGCTTCCTATTTTCAATTCAACCTAAATTGATCAGTTCATACCGTAAAGTCTTACAAATCAGTTTGGAATATTCTAAGCTTCCACCTCATCCTCTCTTTTATTATAAGAAAAAAAACCGCGTGAATTAATGAAATTCCAACTATCAAAATGACTGTTTTTATTACTCATAATTTGTTATATATTAAAAAATATTCTTCTATTAATATTTTAATATTTTAAAAATTTATTTAAATAGAAATATTTTCATTATTCTAATTTTATTTAATGTCGAACAAAACGCGCGTTGAAAAAAAAAAGTATTCAAAGTTTAATAGATAAATAAATACTTTAATTCATAGACGGATTAAATTAAAATTAAATTTTATTTCTCGTTCACCACACAAAAACTAATAGTAAGTATTATGTTTTTTTTGTCATAATTAAATGAGATTCAAAATATTATTTTATGTAAGAACGTATACAGATATCTTTCTCTTCTTCTTATTTGAACTAATATTTCTTTATTTTATGAACCTGGAAATTTTAACTCTAATCGCCTAAATTTTTCATCAATAATTTTTTTCTCTTTCATTTTTAAAATAAATTTCCACATGAATGTTTGATTTACTTATTTTTTTTTCTTAAAATAAACTTTTAAGGTTATTTTTCACCACACTAATTTTGATTTTGATTGTACACTCTGATGTATGTCATATGAGGACGGTTTAATTTTTTTAGTATAAAATTGAGCTCAATATATTTTATTTTATAATCTTTTCATGATTAATATTTTAATAATCTACTAGTTCTAAATATTATTACATTTATTTTTTTTGGTAATTTTTGAGTCAATTCACATCTTCGTCATATTGATATAAAATAATGTCTTTATTGATAAATATTGAGTTAAAAAGTATTTAGATAAAATAAATATTTTAATATTTTCAAAACCTAATATACATAATTTACATTAATATAAGTATATAACATAAATTTCAACATTTGAATAATATTAATCATAAAGTTTTTATAAAATGTATAAAAAAATATTTAGTTTTATATTAATGTAAGTGATTTAGAATATAAATGTTGTTGCAATTTACCAAAGAAAAAGGGAGATTAATGATATTGAGCATGGAATTCAAACCTATTGGATTTATACAAAGTCTACATAAATGTTGCTTAGATTTACATGTAGATGCTCGTTTTGTTCGGAGTTTCCGTTTGAGTTTATATATATCGATATATTTTATATAATGATATTTATTATTTTTTTAAATATTAGTTATTTAAATAATTAGGTTAATATATATATATATATATATATATTATAAAGCAATTATTGAATTTTTTATTTATTTTATTACTTTACATATCTAATACAATTATAAGCCTAAAAGAGATTACAAACTACATAGCCCGAAACAAATAGGCCCAAAGCGTAGCAACCAAACCCGAGTGTTACAAGCCCATTTGAAGAAACCTTAAACCTAATAG